TTGCTATCTTGCTGGACAAAGAACTGCAGTAACTGCCATGTACAAACTGTAAACTGGATGAATTCTGAATCACACTGCATGGTAAATTAATTGATTTACTGATCGAGCGAAGTAATGGTCAATTGATGTCACAGAAAGTTGGCAGTAGAATTTTTAGGTAAGAATGAAGGAGAAGTGCCGGTGGACTGAGATGAATGTGTTTTTCTGACTGATGCAGTTAGTTGCTCTTGGCTGGCTGAGCAAGCTGGACTGAAGCGCAGCACACAAAAATTGTAAAGAGAAGCAGGAGAGGAAAAAGGGGGAAGGAAAGGAAGCAAGGAGAAACTGCATCTAAACTTTCCATGTTGTACTTATTATTTTGCAAGAAATGTAAGCACAAGAAACTGCTTATGCGTATTTAGTATTAATTCGCTATGATACTAAAAGTCTTACTCATTGCTTATCGCATCAGTAATATAAACGATATTGCCTACAGTATTAAATAATAACTAAGTAAAGTAGTACAATTTTCATTCCATAGATGGAGTGAATAGTGAAATCATTCATTTTCAAAATAGCAACATACAAGCACACTCACTCCAACTGATTTCCTTTTGTTGTTCATTTTTGGGAATGACATCAAAGCCTTCTAAGTCTAACTGTTAATAAGAACCACCGAAACTTATCGAGAACAATAATACCACTCCCATTAGAAGGAAGTAATAATTTTATTTTTGGAGAGAACTTTCGTGTTATGTATTTTCCACTCATCATCCAGATTTAGCTCAATAATGCTTCCAAATAAATTTAAATAGAAAGTTTGGAGAACATTATTTGTTTTCATATAGATTGTAAGATAAAAACACTTTGTTTTAAGGAAATATTCCTTATTTGAAGTCATAAGTATTTGATCACGATGCATCATAAATTATTACGGGCAGAAAAATATAAGAGCACTTAAAACTATTAATTTCGAGACTCTAGAGCCTATAATTTCGTACTGAAGGTGAGTAAGAAGAAAAAAAACTGAGCTAGCAATTATCAATTTAGAGTTCAGGATCTGTGAAAATGCATTTTGTGTGAGTAAAAATTTCATTTCCTGGTATTTTTGCCATATCTGAGCTTTTCGTGCGAAAAAGATGATTTTTAAGTAGTATGTCCAGATTGTTTCAAATGAGCAAATAATTTTGCTCTTGATTCGAAAAATTCACCACAGCGATCACATGAGTCAACTTTTGGCTTTATATTTGTCATTCCATTCTTTTCATTTGTTCTTCCACTTTCTTTGATAAACTGCGATGTTCGCAAATTTTTGTTCGAAATCATAAATATGTTTGTCTCATTTAAACTTCGGATTTAAACGTCTCACTGCTTGAATTAGCAGTATGAACCACATTTATTCCATTTACTTATCATTTTTGTTCCCTGTTGAAATATTCATGAAAAAACATGAAGTTTTTTAAAACGAGTAAATAAAAAGAAGATCGCAATCCAAATGCGAAGAATTTGATAATTTTCACTTATTATCGCATTCATCATTACACAAATCGTAGCATGGATTTTCCAGTTTTTTCTCTTTCTTTCCATAACACCGTTTTTCACTACTACATGCGCTTTGAAAATCTCTCTCTTTCACATCAACATGGTCGCTTTCCTGGCTGATTAACAAATTTAAGTCACACTCCTGCAATTTCCAATCGTTTCAAAAATAAATTCAACCTATGTGCTAAAGTATTTCACATTTTTAAATCTTTGATCCGAAAGGTAGCATGTTATACATATTTCCGAAAATTTCTTATAAAGAATGTTTTGCAAGTATATGCAGTATCTGTGGAACGAATTTACAACAAAAATCAATAGCGCCATATTTATGAATGAATGCATACCTGGACATGTTTCTTCAGTAAAAGAACTATATTTTTATGCTTTTTCGATTGCTCGTGATTTCGAAATGCTTCTCTGAAAAACAACTACAATCAATTAGATTAAAAACTTTTCATATATTTAAAATAAATGTGATAACAAAGTAAACAAAAATTTAATACACTGCAATTAATCAGTGAGACACATGTAAAATCCTACAATGATTTGAATGTCTTTTCGCAAAATGTGCAATAGAAATTTGAGCTTTTGTCACCTTCCACTACATTGTCATCACTATTATATCCAAAATCAGCATCGAGCATTTCTTCAATTTCACATAAATGTTCCAAATATAACTCTTGTACCTCTTGCAACTCCTTATATTCATCGGCTTTACTGCAAAGACTTAGAAAATAGTAGTAAAGAATACTAAATATAACGAATATGGCAGACCTTGTGCCCCAAAATTTTCAAAAATCCTGCATATCATGAGGTAACGGAAAAAATCCCTTTCCAAAGATATTGTACTAAACTGATGACTGGAAAGGATGGTTATAAATTATTGAAGCACCTTAATTGTTCTAAAATCCCTTGCTTCCTTTTTTCCTCTGCTTTTCTTTGTGCCTCTGTCTGCTTCGTTTTGAGTATTTCAATATGTGCATGGACTCGTGGATCTCGTCTTCGCACGAAAGCAACCAATGCCTGAATGTCTGCCGATGTAAAGAAAATATGAGACGTGAAGTTGCTAACTTTGGCTAATTTTCAAAGTTACAGACAAATGATGAAAATTTAACAACGAAAGCATACTACAGCAATCCGTATTACTTGAGTTTAGAAATTTCCTTGATCTTATGAAGAATACGAGTGAAAAAACATTTTCAAAAACATGCCACTCAAATGACATTCAAAACTGCTCAATGACATTCAAAATTTCACATTTTTATCAGAATAAATCATGTGAAAGGCACGTTTATCAAGGAAAATGAGATAAATATATTCGTATGTCGTTATTTAAAACAAAAAAAATAAGCAACCTGAATTTCTTCATTTCTTTTACGCTTGCTTGCTTCTCTCAATTTCTTATTTTCATTTTCCATCGCTCTAGCGCAACGTCGATTTGGAGCATTGCGTATGTCAAACTTATCTATCCATGTATATGAACGAACAGTATGAAAGCAGCTCCAGAAAGCATAAAAGGGTTGAACTACCTGTAAAACAATAATTACTAACTTAAACAGCAAATAATTAAAAAATTGAAGCAATAAAATCTTCACAAGGATTATTTTCCTTCCGAGACTAGTTAGATAAAAAAGACTGCAAGATGAAAAAAAAATTGATTTCTCGTAGACCACAAGACATATAGAAAAATCAGAGTCGCGTACGTCTTCGTAACTGCTTTGATGATCACCAAAATTAGGATATACAATCTTCCTATCCAAAAATTCATATTCTTCTGATGCCAAAGCTTCAAACAATTTTTTATATACCACGTAAAAGCTCTGCAAACATCAGACAACCAAGATTTAAAGACAGATGAGATGTCAATATTCTTTAAGTTTAAATTTTAACAAAAGAGACACATATTTAAGCTTACTATAACGATGCGTTTCAGTTTGATGAAATATTAAAAAGAAAAGTAATTAAGTACGAAATGCTTTTGGTTCAAGTAAAAGACATACTTTATCATCAGTACCGTACTCAGAATAACAACTCGACGTAAAATATGGGAATAAATTGAGAGTATTGGTTTCAAAATTTTCAACACCAGCTAAAAACAAATATTTTAGAGAAAAAAGAACAAATAAAATATAAACACATAAAAACAGAAATCTTCTTTTAGGGCTTTTTTGATTTTGGCACTGCATCAAGTTCAGAATTCTTCCTGCATTCGCCGTGCTGCTCTCCGCTACTTCATTCTGCTAATCTCATCGAATCTGCGGCACTGATCGAATGAGATGTTTTCAAGCGTTTTCTTAAGCAATGTCTCAACGTGATCAGATACACTGATTTCTTTCGCATAACGCTTATGGAAGTTCGTCACTATCCTATCCCAAGTCATCACATACGGAATTATTTTCGTCCTGCACTTCATCTCTGCCCCGAGTTTATTAGCCAGTAAATCGTACTTTCGCTTCTTCTCCGTCTCGACTGCTGCCAACCTGTCCTAACCAGTGATGCCAACCTCTATCAGGATTACTTCACGTCGCTTCTTATCGTATACCAGGATGTCCGCTCGATCCGCTATTATTCTAATTGCAGTTTTTAGTCGCATATCTTGGAGATACCATTATTGCGCTTTATCGTGTAAGATAATGTTTCCGATTGTAACCACAATGATAAATCGGCCGCTAAGGTTAGTGCAGCATCTTCTACAGCATTGAATAATGAATTTTCTTTTCTATTTCATAATACAGAAGCGCTTTCTAGGCTGCTGTTAAATTTTTAGCGGTTAGATTTTCCGCGAGGTTGTACTCACTCTTTATATAGGTACAATAACTACAAATTACGTGTTGTGAGCCTTTTTCTGCAAAATCATCATTTACATAGTAGACAAGCGCGAAGCTCACTTCCTAGTCCAATATTAGTTTCAACTTCCTAGTTCGATCTATGGTACATACAGTCTTTCTAAACATGAAGATTGAGTGTGAACTCCATATTTATTTAGTAACTGTTTGGATTTACAGTTCGTTGCCTCGATGTCCTCTGTTTTTACTCTAAGCACCCTAAAGTAATAATTTATTAGATTTATGGCGTGCTCATTCACTATCTCAGTAATTCGAGCTGATTGCTCAAAAAGTAAGGGATACTTTTTCATTTGAAGCTGAATTTGGGAAGACAGTTTCTATTTGCACAACTGATAGATAGCAGGCCCCGATGGAGTCAATTACTTCTTTTTTAAGCAGTGAAACTCCTTGCATCCAGAGCTGCACAAGACAATCAGGCGGATTTCCTTGTATAAGGAAAATGGAATTCATGGTTTTACAAAGAAACTACCTGCGTGATTTCAAAAGGTAGTTCTTTGTAGAACTATGGATCTCAAGTGAAGGCAGCGACTTCAGGTCGAGTTCACAACAAAATGTGTGACAAGTGTCATGCAGTTTGGATGTTGCTGTGAGAAGGCTACTTAGGGAGAACCAATTAGAAACTGTCACTCAGGTTCAAGGTGCAAAAGAACAGGCGTACATTCAATCGATAGTGCTCAGAAAGACGCTTGAAGGCATCTCATTCGATGACTGTTATGGATTTCACAAGGATGAAGCGAAAAAAAAATAGTAGAAATCTGAGCGTGTACAAGTACAGCCAGAGTGTCGGAGTACGAGATCCAGCGCTAGAATCAATAAAGCGGAAAAGATGTGATTTTAATACATATAAAAAGAAAGAAAAAAAAAACTTTCTTGTGATATTGATTTACATATACATTCAACAGAAAAAATTATCCTAAGCACTAAAGAATAAAACTGAAAGCAATGAAATAGTACAAAAGTAAAAATTGGTGATTTCAAAACTGTTCTACGTGCGTTTTCTCAAAACAGAACAAGTACTGCTGTCTTTAACGTCTATTACCAACATTTTTTCATTAATTCAGCATGAAGTAATTATTTATTGATATTTTTTTGTCACCACATTTAGTACAACTATTCTCTATTTTCAACTAATTTAAAACATTAAATATGGTGATTGGTAACAAGTAATGAACTCACCTCCTTTGAGGATACTTTCTCTGTGTCGATCATACCAAACTCTTTCCTTCTTATTACTTAGAACATCGTACGCTTGTTGTATGAGTGAAAAATACCTAAATAAATCTATCTTATGCATGAACTTTGAGTTCCGATTATTACATACTGTTCCATTTCCCATGTCAAATTTAATTGCCTCCCTCATCCTCTCAATCATCAATATGAATCTAGGCATTCTAAAAAACTTTCACCAATCTAGAATATAGCTTACTGCCACATGTACCTGGTACATTCCTCGACATTTGATGGATTCTTGTCAGGATGCCATTTCAAAGCCAACTTACGATAAGACCTCCTAATCATTTCATCATTAGCAGTACGCTCAACTTCCAACACATCATAGTAACATCGCATTTTAACTCCTGTATGTCACATAGGTACCTATATTTTATTCGCGAAATTCCATTAACAAATTAAAATAATTACACGAAATTTCGAAGAACTCGCCCCAAACTCGGTTAAAGATCGCTCTTCACCATAATGTATCATGGCTATTACTGAAGCAAAATAAATTACTCGCTGAGAAACGATTTGAATTGCATTTTTTTTATTAAAATTTATTCGGACGTGCTCATTGTAAAATTCAAACTATAATATCGTCAAAAAAATGAATGAGGACATTAATATAAATACAGAGAATTATTCAAGACTATTTCTGGCAAAGACTATATCAAAGCACACATGCGAATTAAACTAAGTGCAGATGTAATTTTAAAATTGCGAATTACCATTACATTAAGTAGTCAAGACAAACAAATGTTCAAAGTTATCAGTGATGTAAATCAGAATAATAAAAATGCTTTTCGTTTGACCAACAACACCAGTTTCGAGAACACGAAAAATTGTATTGAAGCATATAGTAACAAAATATAATAAACTATTTGGAAAGCATAGTGCAATACTGAGCCAAATACCTAAATCCTAACTTGATTAATTGGAGGAGTAATTAAAAGCATGAACGATCAAAAATAATATGAAAGTACATACTATCTACTTGTTTCCACATTAACTTGAATTTTTTTTAGCATGGGCGACTACAAGACACAAATAATGGTATTAATGCTCTATACTTATACAAAATACTCTTTGATACTGAAGAAAACAGAAAAAACTTGCCTGAAATGATTCGTGACATGAAAAAATGTACCAAGATATAGTACATGAAAAAAAAACAACCTAAAATTAATCTAAATGTTAGCAACAGAGGTTATCGAAGATTATCAGGCCATTCAGGTATATAGTACCGCTTAACTGAACCTTCCACTAAACGATCCAACCAGTTCGGCAGACCATTTAGTACGTCTTCCACTTTCAAATTTCGTCCTCTACGTAATGCCTGCACCTACAATAAATCAAAATAATCATTTTACAAAATTTGCTCAGCTTAAAAGTGATAATATGCAAGGCATCTTCGAAACATTAAAAAAAATTTGGTAGAAGACAGAGTTCGTATTGAGAGATATGTTTGGGAAACAAATTTATTCAACCTCCTCATGAGATGCTTTATCAACATCAGAATCTTCGCTACTGAGATCGTATCCACCATCATCAAAACCCAGAAAATTTTTGTTTAAAGGTGTATGCATTGGATGATAGATACTAAAGTATAATTTCCAACCACAAAGTACTAGAACAGTTCCCAGAGTTTTACGCGGGTTGATATTTTTTAAATGATCGTTCATCGAAGAAACTTCTTGAAAAAATTGAAAAATTTTACAACGGTAATTTAAAGACGTATAGGGTTCAAATAAATTTCAAATTCCTTTCATCTCTCTTCCTAATAATAAAAAGATAATTTATGAGCCTGCACGTCAATACATGAAATGCTGTTATCTATGCTTATGAATGACTTCGAAAAACTAGAAAACGCTAATTACGAAATTAAAAACAATAAAAAATGAGTGAAAATGCAAATTATGACAGCGTTAACAAACCAGTTTCTACATTAATAATTCCAGTAGGCAATGTGTGTTCTAGAAGTTTGCGGAACCAAGGAAGATTCTTTTCAACCATCAAATAACCAAAAGAGAATGTTTTGTTGCTAAAAAGAATAGCAAATTACTTGGTTTTTAAATGTGAAAAATCAGAAAAAACACATTGAAAAATGAAAACACACCACAAAAATGACACAAAAGAGAAAGAGAAACTTACTTTCGAAACGGCCAAACATGTTTAGCAAATTGTGGCAATAAAATATCTTTTGATTGCTGATCAAGAAGCACAACGATAGATCGACAGCCAGGTTTAAGAAGTCTGATCATCCCAAAGTATGTTTCTGCTCTCAACTCACGCATCAATGTTTCCATATCACGCATTATTCTTTAATAAATAATATATTACCGCTTCTAAAACTGACCTCACCTTCCTATTTCTACTACATCAGACAAGAAATTATTGACTAAAACCAAAACAATTAAATTTAGATAACCACATCAGAAAAAACTCATGAAGAAAATGAAACTGTGCTGAAGTCAAAAATATCCTTTTTTCTAAAAACTTGTTTTTACTTTTGCCCTTTTGTGATGACTCGCGATCGGTTATTGCTAATTTCAGCAGTGAAATGTGGATCTTCAGGATACCATAGGTCATCATTACGACTTTGTTTACCATCTTTTTTCTTTTGCTGAATTTAATAAGATTTAATAATGACCACTCTCAACAATACTTAAAACTATGTTCTTAAATTTCTATCGGCGACTTTGGAAATTACAAAGCAATTTTTTCAACCATATCAAATCTTGTGATTAACCTGCCGTCCATGACTACGAGATTTTTCTTCTAAAGTACTTGCACAACTGAGTCCATAACCAATGAGTATAATGATTCCTAATGTTCCTACTGCACTCAACAGTGGTAATGCTTCTTCTTTAGTCAAATGAAACCAAGCAGCTTCGACCATACGAACAATAGTACGTGAAATACGAGTAAACCGTGATGGTTCGTACTCGTTTATCTAAAATTGAAAAAGTTCATAAAGATATTCTAATTTGATTACATACATCAACATCCAGTTGTCAAATAAATAACAAAAGTGGAAGAATCGCGTTTAAACCAATATCATGTATAACACATCCGCTTGTCCTTGAAAATGTACTGAAATAAATGCACAGAACAGAAGAATCAAGCACAAATTCTTTTCGTCTCACTTGCTTTATTTAAAAAATCTGAAAGAAATACGTACCAAGGGTTTGATTGATGCTTTTGAATCTAACTCAGCAGTACCTTCCACATGCGCATCAAGTTCTAACTGAAGTTGCTTATCACTGAAGGGCTCTTTTCTTAAATGCGTTCGTAGCCACGCAAAACGAATTTTCTTTACGTCATACCGCCAAAGAATCAGTAGAGCCAACTTCTTGTCTTCCTATAAAAAACAACCCTTCCCTATTCCATACAAACCTAGGAAACCATAACCATTTTCTGCGATCTAATAAAGTGCTTCGATTTATAATTGGTATTTGCTATTTAATTAATTTACCTAAACGGATAAAGAACGACAAACTTGTGCAGATAATCGTTCATTCTGCGGCAAGCCATCAAACAAAGTCATAAAAAATTCCTTCTGCTTGTTTACATCAACATATGCGAATTTTAGTCTTTTATACTTGATAGTATTTCCATATTCATGAACAAAATTACGAAACAATGTAACATGGTACGAATCATCACTCGATGATGAGGAATCTATTAGCACAACACACAGATTCCTCATATTTCTCAATGATATAGGACAAAGATCATCGAAATAATACTGACTCGAGAGCTGCAAAAATAAACATCTTAATTAAAATAAAACATACCGCACAGATTCCTCATGTTTTTGAGAAGTCTGGAAAGATACATAACAATGAAACTTGTTACCTAAAGCTAGGCATATCTATCATTACACAATGAGATAACGATACTAGTAGCTTAGAACTCTTAGAACTATGTCAACTTGAATGTACTCTCCTTCTGGTGAGCAATTTTTCACCAATACAACAATAACATCCCTTTCGTTTCCTGAAATTTCGTGAAAACCTTCTAAAAAAATACTTACTCTTGGCAAAACAAGGTGTTTATTTTTCTCAATCAATGCTTCTATAGTGCTGACTGAAAATTGTTCATTATTTATGGTAGAGAGACGAGAAACGGGTCCTTCCTGTAATAGGTTCCTATTATATAAATAGCAAAGCTATAAGCTATTTTGATTTTTAAATAACTTGCTTGTTGTAACAAACCATATCAACAAATGTAAAGAGAACACTAATAAATTTGAAAACAATGAGATTTCTGTATTTACCTGAGGGAAATCGTTGAAAATTAAAACATTTTCACATTTGTCACAAGTGATATCTAAAGCTTTCCGCATTTTTGTAATTTCAGTACTCTGATCGCTTAAATAAACATAAGCAACTCGAGCGAAAGCTGAATATTTCATTGCGGTGAGCATGTACCGCATTCGAGGATCTTTGCTGCTCCCAAAAATTACAACAGAAACCTGCAAAAAACCAACTTTTCTACTTCAGCACATCAAAAATACTATAAAATCATATTTACAGGCGATGAATATAATTTGAGGTCATCTAAAGCCAAAAAAAATAATCTGGATTCTACTCTATTCGACGTTTTCCACTGGTCAATGAAACGTCGCAACCCATCATGATTAGAAATTTTGATAAGAAAAGCGTTTGGGATCACATCACGAGCAAACACTCGAACTGCTTTTGCAAAAAGTGCTGCAATTATGACCGAAAAATAATGATTAGTATGACACTTTCAAATGTTAAAAAAAGAAAAAATTTTGATATCTTACGATATATGGTGCCTCGATAATGAATAACACGCCCTTCAACAATTACTACAATAGATGGCAATCGCGAAACTCGAAGTTTTTCTAATAAATTACTATCTGTTACTGCATTTACAGTTCCAATGCCATAACCTGAAATTTTCAAGGCGAAAATTTTCTAAAAGTTTAGAAATATTTATCTATGAATTACAACTAATACAACAAACTACTGCAAAAAACAAATTTTCATTACAAATTGAAAAGTAGAACGATATTAAAATAACGATCTCAAATTGTTGTGACTAAAAACAGCTATAAAGCAAGAAAAAAAAATAATGGCAACATTAACGACAGTAAAATCTGACCAAGTGGTTCAAGATCTTCAACGATACTTTTCCAAATCATTTCCAAACGAAAACAAAGTTGACAATAACCAGAATATGCAAAAATAATGAAAGGCTGAGAATAACTTCGTCCCAATAAAGTATGCGAAAATACCCGCATAGAAATACGGTGTTTTTGGAAAAACGAATTGCCATTATCAAATCCACCAAAATTGAAACCAAACTGAAAATACGAGTGAAGTAAGAGTTTGATAGTAAAAATAAATGGCGAAATTTGTAGTTAATGCTGCAAATAGTTATTTCATTTTGATTTTTAATGTCATGGATTTCAGTTAGAAAGCAAATACATGCAGATAATGAGAGATACACTACATTTTTATCATACTTTACTCAATATCACAACAAATGTGAAGCTAACAGAACGATTAAGTGAAGTAAAGTGAAGAGTATGGATATCCTAGTGATTAAACCAAGAAAAAAAAAATAAAACTTCATGAATCCCTTACCAAACCATCGAAAGGATGGTGCGCGTAATCGTGATTAGACACTGGATCATCAAATGTACCAAATCTATCATAACGTTCTTTTTTCAATGGATCCGACAAAATCTGGAGTTATTAAGTTAAGAAACAACAGTTCACAGACCAGACAGGATTGCAAAAACTATAAGTAAAACCTTCGAAATATTTCGGTCAGAAAAAACTATACCTCGTAAGCACGAGTAATCGCCATAAATTTTTCATGTGCGTCCGATTTATCGTTTTTATCGGGATGCCTTTATTTTCATAAATAAAAATTGATACAAAACAATTTTTGACAAAACCTTTTCTAGGTTTCAACTTATCCCGATGTTTTTTTAATCATCAACAAATTCTCTCAATATGAGACATAATTTACTAAGATGTCGAGAATTTTGTCAATGGCCAACAAAGTTAGATTTATTACTAATACAAAAAATAATTAGGTAGAGGTTGATATAAGTATGACTACAAAGACAATTTTTGGATGGAAAAAAATTGGTACCACTCTCTAACTAGCGCCTTGTAAGCATGTTTGATCTCCTTGATAGTTGCTTTTCGCGATATGCGCAAAGCATGATAAGGATCTTCAATCTCCGTTGAAATTACTTCAGTCAAGTAGATTAGAACCAACGACAATTGTAATAAAAGAAATCTCATATCGTTTATTTCTTATCAGTCATTTGTAAAAAAAATATCAAGTTTCCTGGCTGAAAGTCTTATAAAAGCAATTTCTCATAAAACAATATGTGATCAAGATATGATAAGTTGTTCGTGACATCAAAGGCATGCATATCAGTCATACTACTGCTTATAAATTATCTACTCATTCCTTTCAAAATTCCAAAATGTTTGACAGCTGAAAGTGTACTCTTCCCTTCATCACAATCAAAATGACAAATTTCAAATAACAGTCAAACAGATTTTATTTGTATTTCCAAGAAAGTTTCCCTTCTGCAAATTTTGTCTTATTTTCTAAGTTGCCACTTTTTGATCGTTAAAACAAAAAAAAAACAAAAAAAACTCATCACTGCATCACATCTGAATTTTATAAATGATCAAAAAATAATTTTCTACCTTGTATCATTTCCCACCTATTCAAATAAAGAAAATGTCATCATAGAAAGCGAAAAACTCTGAATTTCAAAACTTTCAAGAACAGAACATTTCACCCAAGAATGCAGTTCAAATAAAACATGATAATATGTATCAAAAATATTATATTGCAGACACTATTCGAAAATCTGATCAATTTTTTAACAGTTTAACTACTGTTAATTTATTGTGCTCTGTGGGCTCACAAGAGTAAAATCCATCATTTTCATGCCATGACCAAACTTAATTAGAAAAAAGCGAACGAGAAATAGACAACAGGCATACTTAATTATTCTTTTACCATTAAATAAGTTTTGAATGGTGTATTAAAGAAATCGTGAAAAATACATTGAAGTCAGCTCGTCACATCATAATAATATCAAGACAACTTGAATTTCATAGACCAGTGTACCTCTTTACAATATTTGCAGGATTCGTTTCGCATTGTACATCCTAACTAAAGAAACGAGGAAGTCTTACTCAATTTGACAGCTATTAGCATGTGAACCATTTGCTGCAGATAATTTTCATACTGACCCTTTAAAGTTCAAATAGACACTGCGTATTAATCAACCCTTGTTCAAACGTATATTGAGATTGCTTGGTTGCGAAGTCAATACCGATGCTTGGATCTTCATTAGTACAAAGCATTGGATTATTACTTTTAAGATTGTAACTTGTATTCTTAACCTGGTGCCTAAGTCGCATAATTTTTTAACCGCTGCATTTGCTTGCATTGTTTAAAATTTTCAGTTCCATGCCTACTTTAACAGATTTATAAAAGAAGCAAACAGCATAACTGCCACGCAGTACTGTTGTAGGACATCAGAATGAACGTTGCTGTCTGAACTAATCGTCTATTTAATATCTCAGTTCTCCATGCAGACCACTGAAGTCCTCTTCTGACTTATCTGAAGGCCACACTAATAATGATGAAATGACGAAAGCAAACACTGACAACCCTTATTATATGCGACTGCAAGTACTAGCCCAAGTTCCTCAAATTCTTTCCCTAAGTCTTGTTTTTTTGTTTCTACTCAAGTTTTCTCCATTCAAAATTAGTAATTACAAACCGCTTCTCTATGATCAAATCCATGCTACTTACACCATACACATAAACCTTACTAATCCATGCACTCAGCGACAACAAATGTAACTGCTCTACATACACACATTGATGAAATGATTTGTATGAGGACCTAGTGCCTCAACGTTCCCCATAGAACATTCAGGAGGGAACAATATCCAGTCCTTCATATTATTCGGTTTGAAAAGAAGAATGAGAAATTTCTTATGTACTATTAACAGGCGTAAAATTTTTCGAAGCCTTTTTGCAAAGCAATATGATGAAAATATAGTGAAATGTAACTTTTATGAAGAAAAGCAAGGCAACAACGAAATATGACAAACACACCATAAGTACAAAAAACTGATTGGTTAAAAGTACTCTGTAATTGACATCTTGCACTTGAACAAATCATATTTTACTGAACTTATACAAATTAAAAGATATTGGATGAAAAATTGAGGTATATTTTATATTGAAAATAAAGGGACCACAGCATTAGGTGAGTCAGTTCCAGGAAAACTTGTGAAAGTAGAAAAATATGCTATACTAAATATTAAGAGAAAGCAAAATTTTAGTATAGGCTACAAAAAGAAGTCTGAAATTATAAATGGTAAAAGATGAAAAGGAAGAAAATAGCAAGAGATTTTACTGAAACGTTTACTGATTTGAAAGCTAGTGAGAGCAATTTCAAATTGTCACAATTTACAATTACACCGGTATCAACGTAACAAAATATGATGACGATGTTGAAACATGACAAGTTAACAAAGTTAAATAAATTAAACTTAGTACTGGACATGATTCAAACCAGTACATCATGTGCAGCAGGTCGGAGGTTAACATTTTTTTTTGTCTTGATTCTCGCGTTGGATCGTGTTCCGGCACTCCCGCTGTACTCACCTCGCATTCAATTCTGCTGGTCTCTGTACACTGGTCGAGTGTTTTCCCATGTCCCTGGACCACGGAGCTTTCTTTAACAACCCCAGCTGTTTTCAATTTGTTTTCATTATGATTCTAGAATCGGTTTTTTTTTTCATTTATCACCCACTTCCTGCTTTGTAATGCGATCGAATAGCTGGCAGCTCAACCGTTCAGCACAGCCGAGCAATATAAAAAAAAGCTCCGTGCTCCGTACTTACATAGATATAAGATAAAAAGTTGATGTAAAAGACAAAAAGTACAAAAAATAGAAGTGGAAACAACTAAGAAACTAAACACGAATGTAAAATTAATGTAAAAGACAAATTAAGTGACGAGATACAAGATTTCAAATGATGTATAGATAAACATTACTCAGAACATCATCTCCATTTCTTGTGCCTCATAAAAACAAATAAATTATTGTCACGATCTGCAAAAAAATAATTAAATAAAACCAAACATTTAATAAGAAGTCAACGACTAAAAGAGTAGACAAGGTTTCCTGGATATTCATTGTACTTTATCAGTGTTTAAAGTCTTATTGATAATCACTTCAGTGTTTTATGAACTATGCCCAATTCATTTTGTTCCAACAAATTAGTGAAGAATGGAGGTACAAAAAAAGGAATAAATTGTTCGAAGAGAACAAAAAAATAAGCAAAATAACAAAGCAGAAAACTGCTCATTTATAACAGGAATTCTGGACTACTATTTCTTAATATTTCAGTTTTGATACACTAGTTAGAAGTCCAAACTGATTCAGAGTTTGCAACAATATTAAAAAGTATGATATAATTGAATTTTTCAAATAGCGAGAAATAACCAGACTATACAACATATACGGTTAGGAAAAGTAACTTTTTTCTCCCCAAGCCTACTTTAATTCAAAGGTAACGAAAAGTATTGGTAGCATCTACAGAACTGCCAGATTGCCCTGAGTCAAAAATTCCTGCTTGCGAAACATAGGTACCAGTAGCTGAAGCAGATGGTGGCTGTTGCGCATGATTTGGATAAGCACCCGATACTGAGAATTGTCCTGAGTAAGGGAAGTAAAAATTATATGAGGTATTGGATCCAGGCGGTACAATAATTGGTGTTACACGCTGTCGTTGAGACTGATGAGGAGTGGAAGATGTTCCGTTTCCAGCCATCACTTGCTGTTGCTGCTGCGCATTCACACGCATCACAGAATCAGCACTGGAAATCGGTAACGACACTAAAGTTGATAAGTTCCCAGTCCCTGGGGGAGTGAGATGAACTGAGTTTAAGTTGTCCACATTAGTAGATGACGACTGCTGCTGCTGAGATGATGGTTCAAAGAACGTTTGAGTAGCAACGTCGGTGCGCTCTCTAGCAGTTGGAGATGGGATCACTTCGGCAGGTGAGTCCACAAAAATTTCGATTAGCAACGGATCTATTGTTTGACAACCAAACATTCGAGCAAACTGCACATTCTCGCACAAAATAGAGGAAATTTTCTGCAATCACTGGTGAATTTACTGATAGTCTCTCTACAACAAACATAAGTATCATTTATGATAATTACTCAAAAATTTGTTTACCGCTAATGGCGGCAGCAACAGAAGAATGTTCCCGAAACGTGAGATAGCAGCGGAAATGGGCTGTTCAGAGGAGCCCACACGATCACGTATCATCTGGAATAACGCATGTTGAACGCGATCGCGCAACGCACCTAAGACTTGAGATGTTTCTGAACTTAAACCTGGAGCATCTGCAGAACTGGTACGTTATATTACAAGAATAGGCATCGACACATACAGCACAGGACTTTTTAAAAAACAGATTTCTAGTTATCATAAGACTGTAGCAATGTCATTAAATGCTGTACATTAAGTTTCGACATACTCTGACAGAAGGGGTTTTTAAAGTCTCAAAAGCAGTATGAAAATATAACGACAGAATTTTTTCAATTCTTCAAACGTATAAAAACTTAGTTTTAGAATACATTACCTGCATCAAGCACAACAAGCGCAGTGAGTGCAACAATTTCAGGTTCATTAAGTAGCAACTTCCTTATTGGCTGTGTTAATTCATCCAATATTCGTGAAGTCATACTGTTCGAAAGAAAGCTGCAAATAAAAAGATCTTAATATCACCTTCTCTATTTCATTAACAAATGATTTTCGAAAAGCTACAAAAAAGAGTTCATCCCTGATCATTTAGACACGACAGCATTGTATGTCAATGTTTTTAAATTGCATAAATTACTAAAGCACTAAAAAATGGCAAAAAATATCTACTGAAACTTGAGCCAGAAATTTTTTAAATGTAAAATTTTTTGCAAAATACAATAATTTTTAAAGTCCCGAGTTTGAAGTCTTGCTAAATAATAAATTATTAATCGTGCTTTCTAAATATTGAAACTAGATTCATTATATTGTTGCACACCTCTCAATTACTACCTAAACTGCTTTTGCCAAATTTAAAAATAAGAGATACTTGTTTTCAAGTAAATGTCTTGGTGTTTGGCGTGGAATTACTGTTCTGTTACACAAGCACAGCAAATCTGGATTGGATGTTGTTTGAGCTGTCCTTGCAGCTTGGCTGAATGCGCAGAACGCAGCGAACGAACTTTTTAGCACAAAAACCTGTAATTTGGCAATTATTTTATGCCTTATTTTAAACATAAGCCGATTTTTTTCTGTTGCCATTTATGTCATTCACCTAAGATTTCCCACGCCGAATATCTTAATTACTGAAAAGTGAAGACAACAAACTTTTCAACAGCATTTATCATCCATCACGAATCTTGATTTTATAGAAGGTAACATGACTGTTTCGCACACAACACATGTTTTAGTAATCAAAACTTGGTTGTTGTTTTTTTTTTTTGCTTTTTTAAAACATAAAAACTGATTGAGCTACAAATGAGTGGTAGTTGACCACTCATCAATTCACCTTTTCATTGCAATCACTAAGATTAACGAGTGAAAATAGCGCATCAATCCAATCAATCGCGGCACTGATGTAACGTCTCACCGCCTGTGATAACTGATCTACGGTTGCTGTTCTACCCGCTTCATAGCATATCTAAAAGAAATAAGATGAATACCACGTAAAAAATCTTGACCAAAAACTAAATGGAGAATTTTAAATAAAAACTCTCGTACCACTTCGCATATGAATAAAACAAAATCCTTGCACAAAGCATGAGTGTTCATCTCTGATTCAAGTGGGATTGCAAGATAAGAAAATTCCACCACTTCTAATCAAATTATATAATTAAAAAATGTAGAATTGTAACTATGTTTTAAGCTTACATCAAAACGATCGTTATCTAAGATGCCTTTATTTTGGAATATTCCCATCAATTCCAAATCTGGATCAACTTTAACTCTGGCAATTCCAATAGGCGTCATGGAGAGTCGTTTCATAGCGCTCATTGCTTGAATTTCTGTGTCAAGGAGATAGGTTAGTAAAGCATCTTCTTGTTGTGAACTGGAAAAAAAAATTTTAAGAGAGAACTATTAAAACAGTAATATTCTAGCCAGAAATAATTGTAAATATTTTAGAATACGGTGGAAAAATTTAACAAAAAAAAAATATAGCAAAAAAATACCAGCACATTTTGCTCATTTCCATAATTTTGAACCTAATCTTTTTATTGAAAATATAATTCTAAATATCACTGTAAGTCAAAACTGAACACTAAGATAGTCCACGCACTTTTAATGTATGAAGCTCACTGAAAAAAAATAATGAACAGCATTTGATTTTCACATCAAATTTTTTACATCGATATTTTTGTTCAAAACAGATTAAATTGCATATCATAACTCGACTAAGAAATAAAAAACAAACACCACTCACACACGACCCCTCATATGAATCATGTGTTATCATATGGAAAGCATTAATTCTCACGTGCTACCAATATTCTTTAATTAGAAAAAGTTACCAGTGAGAATCAGCTCCTGGAGAAGGCAACAAACTATCTTCACGTTGTAACTTTTTCCGCCGTGGATTTTTTTGTTTTCCAATGATATCTCGATCTGGGCGAATAGCTGAAAAGCCAGTGCATCAAAATTTAAATTATAATCCATATTCTAAATCGAAGAAGATATATTTACTGAAAGAAAACAATCATTACTGAGCAATAATATTCTAGAGTTTGCTGCGAAAAATTATCTATATCTAAATAAAGCTATCTAAATAACTGATTAGAACACAATATATAAAATAACCATCAGGTTCCATGCCAACTTCAAGACATCGCTGAAATCGACAAAATCGGCATGCATTTCGCTGATCTTAAAAATATTCATTTACTTGCTGCTAATAGGCAATGATTATTTTGCGATACTTTGTAATTAATAGTTATTTCTTAGGAAAGCCGAGATTCAAAGATAAAAATATTATTAGTTAGTAACAATAATCAACAGAAGCTTAAACACAAAGTTATGTAAGCATCACACCCAAAAGCAAGATGCAACCTTTATCAATGGAGCATTTCTGAAGAAAGCGACAAGTATATGACTGTCCAGAACGAATTGTTCGCCGAAAAAATCCTTTGCATCCGTAACATGCCATTACACCATAATGCTTACCAGCTGAGCGGTCACCACATACCATACACATTCCTTCTCCCTGGTCCATTGCCCTGAAAGACTGATAAAAACAATCAGCACTTTATGTTGAACAAAATGCACGAAAACAAAGTGAATTCCGAAGAAAAAGTAAGAGTGAAGCACATGTAATAGTCCAAAATTTCACAAATCAAAAAAATAAGAAATGCATGGAACTGATTTAGATAGCATATAGCTTTAAATCTAGCTGATTTAATCAGAACAATGAAATAATATGTATGAAATACTTGACTGCTACCATGAAAAAATAAACTGTAATTCGAAGCAACTGCAACTAGTTTTTTTGGAAGAGTTCAATTGAAGGTATTATATAGAGGTCAAAAAATCAGATTTTTACTTTGAATTTACACAAAAATATGTTGTAAGAATTATGTGATCACTTATTTAAAAATTCTTCGCAAGACGGTGTTTGGCGAGAAAATAAGGATATAAAGAGAAACTTTAAGAAGTGTAAAAACTGACAAACTGATAATGCAAGAAGAATCAGTGATAGCTAGAGGAGGCAGTTGCAAACTGATAACAGCCATGTACTGAAGCTTTTTTGCAACCTGCAGTGATAAGATCAGAAAGAAGAAGGAGAAAAGAAAAGTTAGTCGAAACAAATTGAACAAGATGGAATGTTACATATGATGCGAAAGTATAGAAGAATAAAGTAATGCTGGAAGTAAAATGGAAAGTGAACAGCTGTTGACAAATAAGCAGAAACTAACTTCGTAACAAAAAGAACATAAGAAATAATATTTGGCTGAAATTTTTAAATGAATAAATGACAATGATTATCTAATTGCAGGAAAGTGATGTATTACATACTTTAATGATTCCTACACGACTAATAGCGTATTAAGAAGTAAAAAGGAGGAAAATGTAAATGTGGAGATAAATTTATGACACTTTGAGATATAAATGTTGCAAAACGCACCCAACAGCTAATATTGATTTCTGACTTCGCCGTTAATCTATCATTGTTAGTTGAGTAGGGGAAGTGCTGTAAGTTTCATGAAAATTGTTTCTGTAGATATGATTGCAATCATTACTTATAAATAACTCATTTAGAGGCCTACGTTCCCAAATTATCCACTACTATTTAGTTTCTCTATTTCATGATCAGCACAAGACCTAGTGAATTGAATGATGAGGAGAATGTCGCAGGCATTTGTTAATCTGCTACTATGCACAGAATTCGGTAAAAAACGCTAGTTTGTTAAAAATGAAAAATTTTGGAGGTAGTTGATTGTGCAAAAATTAAAAATTATTAGATGGTGCAAATGTCGTGTCTCTTTTTCAATAATGAAATTTGTGGATCGAAAATTCACAAAACTACATACCTAAGATGATTTAGAATCCGTCATGTTATTTGTAAGGAACATGAAGTAAATCAATTGGAAAGAAGCAAGCGCAAAATCAAGAAAATTTGAAAAACAAGTAGGGAGAGAAGTGAGCTCGATTCAGTAATGAAAGTAATCATCTGGAGTCAGAAGTTTGTGTCAGCTGTTTTTCTTATGACACAGTAAACTGCAGCACGTGATTAGATAAAAGTTGGTTTTATGATCAATATTTTAGAATCAATTATGTTATTTTACTAGTGCTTAGTTAGACACGTGTTCAATGCAAAGAAAACGTAGGAATTTCATGTGAACATCAAGGTGGTATTTTTATACATTCCAGAATTACGTGAAAAATTGGCTGTAGTAAAAGAAGGCAGTAAATGATGACTGATAGTAAGCTGAATGGCTTGCCAAAACCAAGCGATTTGAAATGCGGAAATTTAATTTGCAAACGTATTTCCAGAGAAAACTTTGATGAATGTCTCAATTTTGGGAAACACTGAGGTATTCTCTGCTTATAACAAGTTAATGCGCGATGTTATACTTTTTGATACTTGACTTTTCAAATAAATATCGATTGCTCTGATTAATATTACTAAATTGGATTGGTTCTAAGAAAAACTTATATAGTTCTAAGATTACCACTAATCTCAAAAGTTATGGTTTTTTTCCATTACATGTAAAAGAGTAGTTTTGTACTTTATAAAAAATTAACTCATGTATTATGGACATTTAAGCTGCAATGGTGAGGTAACAGTGTTACAAAGAAATTCCTGAGGTGAATTGTTCAGTTCCTTTACAACTTCAAAACATCCAATAATTAATTTTCATTTGCTACCTACGTAGAGAGAAAGAGATGACTTTCATTAAATACAACTTAAATTTGTCTTTCAGATTCTCCTATTTTTATGAGTATTTTATGTGTGGTAAACAAATCTTCATATACTGTCTGAAAGTGTCATTGATTATTTATCTTTTATCTTTAGTTTTCTACTTTATTTCTGTTCAAAAAATCTCAACCTCTGAATGATAATCAACAGCAAGTAATGAAGACAATTATACAATTAATCACAAAAATCTGAATTTAAAAGTCGTATTTTTTGCATTTCACAATCACATAATGTTCTTTATATATATACTACGATTTAATTCATACGTCACAGCAGTGTGTCACTTGATGTAAAACAACACGCAATAATTTCATTACGAAATTATTGATAAATGGAAGTACGTATTATGTTAAAGAAGTATTATAGTCAAACAGATAAAAAAGTTTTAGCAAAATCATCAGCAATATTTTTTGTTATCAGTAAGATGTATCGGAGGCGCTCTTCTTGGGATACGTTCGTGGTTTCCAATAACTGGCCAAATAGCAATTAAAAAGTTAGAGATTTTTCGCTCCTTCCTTAGTTTTTTTACGTTGTATAAGATCATTTTAAATTAATTATTTAATCGGTTTTTTATTTGCTTTTTACAAGTGCGAAATAGATATTGAAAAGAAACTTGAAAATGTTTGACGAAAAGTAAGCAAGGACGTTGAAAAGAAAAATCAGATAAAAGTAACTGATAAATTTTTTTTTCGCTTTACCACAGATAAATAACATTAAGGACTGGGCTAAGTTAGTGAAAGAGACAATGTCTTTAATGATAAAAACAATAACACTTAAAGAGAAATGTCAAAATGAACTAATGAGCGGCTCTAAATTTCTGACAGTTTTTTAGATAACAAATATGGTCAGCAAATTAGAATTTGGAGCTTATCAAAAGTGTCAGTTATAGTTATTAATTCATATAAATGATGGAATTAACTTTCCGTTTTAAATTTATTTTTTACTGTCTTGATGTAATACGAGCTGTGTAAGGACTCATTTTGTATGAACAGCACAGCAAAGAGAGCTGAGATTACCTTTGAATATGGATGACGGATAATTTTTGTTGCTATGAATATGCTTTTTAATAAGTTCATGGCATTTTTAATAAATTTAATTCGATTACAACAAAATTGCTAATAGCTTTGATTACAAAAATGCATCAGACAGATGCGGTCGATCGATTTCCAACAAACTTAATTTTTATATTTCCTAGCTTGCATTTCGTATCATATGAGAACGTGAAAAAAAGAGACATCGTTAAACAGCTTAAATTTATACAATAAAAAATTTTCATTTCATTTATGAAAAGAAGAAAGGAAGAGTAAAAAACTATCTGAATTGAATTGAAAATAAATTAAAATTGAATGATAGCAAAATAATAATGTATTCAGTTCAAGAAAAGCTGAAAATAAAGGTGATTTACTTCCGTCTAACGCAACACACCAAAGTAATGACTTTGGATTCTTAAGGCAAATGAACACAAATTAGAAATTCAATAAACAGCCATATTTGATATTTCTTAAGCTAGCGAGAGCTAGTGATTATTAGCAGTCCCTTTTAATGATTTTTATAACCTATTTTATTACAGAAATGCTTATTGAACTTTTGCAAATTTTGGGACTGATAAGGCGATGTTCACATAGAAATTACCTTATCAGTCACTTATCAGCATGAAATTTTTCAGAGCACATGTATGTGCAGCTACAAAAATCTCACAAGAGAAGTATGATTATGAAAACTTGAAAAACTGGCCACCAAGATAAGTGGTTTACTGAAAGTATGTTCTATCAAAAGATGTAAACATAATGTCTCAAAAACTTGAAAAATAAAAAATTTTAAATCTTGAAGACCAACTTTCTGAACAGGGGAATTTCACTATATTGAAATCCGCTAGTTAATGTTGCTTTTGATAGTTCTTGATATTTGCCTACATCATAGTACATCTGAAGAAATATACTGCGCATGCATGTCAATCAATTTTGACATAATTTTTATAGTCTTACAGCGCGCAAACAAACGAAACCTTGCAAACTCTTTATAGTATGATCAAAATGTAATAGTTCAGAAATTACTTCTAATGCTTGGGATTTTATTTTTTTGAAAAAGAAACGAATGTAAAATAATGAGATTCAGAGAAAACATGCAAGGTAAACTGCGGACCACTTCTCCCCGTGTGATGACAAGAGTTATTATTATTACCTCTATAGACTAAACTCTCGGCTAACTGCAGTTTAGTGAAAAAAAAATGCCTTTGTGATTCCAGTACAAGCTACAAACAGGTTCTTTTTCATTCTTTCCATTTCTTCATCTTACATTAACTGTTTCTTCAGTCATCAACCATATATTTATTATGCGCATTTGCACAATAAAAATTTAATTCATACATAGCATGTTACCAAATATGCCATCAGACTCATTTGCCATATCATTATTATAAGGTTTTAAATAATATTAAAATATGATAATTGAAGTAGGACGCATGTTATTTTTTTCTCTTCTCATTCCTTTTGTCACCTCCAGCTTTTTCGTCACCTATAAATGGCATGCTTACACCTATAAAATGCTGCAATGGATGTTTGAATCAATTAAATAAATAATTGCAAAATGATCAGCAAACAAATTTTATAATAAATAATAAAGTTATTCTTTTGAAAGGAAGTTTAGTTTGTTGAAAGTAGCATAAAACGGATAGAAAGTTTTCAAAACATAATGAATACAAACTGCGACTAACTAATATTAAATAATTTTGACTTGCAAGATTTTTGCACAGATTAATTTGAATATTATTAGAGAGTGAAAGATTGAAAAAAAGA